CCGTTCAAGAAGGGGCTTTTTGTAAAGAAGGGAGAGATTTCGTACCAGTGTAAACGTGAAGAATCCGCTGCTCGCAGGCATCGAAGCTGAACGATCTCTCTCTCGCTCGCCGCTGACTTCAGGCACAAGAGTTTTGCTTAGTCCGAAAAGGCTGTGCCACTCTCGTTTTGCAGATCTGTTGCCAGTGTCAGCAGATCTCTTGAGCTGACACTGGTAGCGGAGCCTGCGTGCTTCATGGCCTCAGATGCAGCTGCCGACCCGTGGTCGGCACCCGACAGTGACCCTTGGAACACCGGTGAGTGGAACGGGGGGGCTTCTATCGAGGAAGCCGTGAATGAGCCCAATGATGCAAACCCGCAGACGAGATCCCAAGGCGACAGCCAGCCTTGGGAAGACCAAGAGCCCAGGGAGAGTGCCCCGGCACCGATGACGGACTCTTGGACAAGAAGTGACTGGCCTCGACGCCGAGGTGATGGCAGCAGCGACGGGAGTTCTGGAGATGCGGCGACCACAGCCGATCGAAGGGCTTCCGACGGTTCGTGGGGATCGTGGACCTCATGGGGGACCTGGCATCCCGAATGGCATGGCGGCTGGTGGAGCAGGTGGGGACAAGACGGATGGCACCGCGGTCATTGGGATGACGGCGGCACTCCTTGGCCTACCTCCTCTCCCGGAACTACTTTCTCGAACAACGCCTACGAACCGACCTCTACCTGGACGAGCAGCACCCACTACGCGGCGGGTGGCCCCGGATCCATGCCTACGGCAACTACGACTTCTACCTTGATGACGCGATCAGGGAGCACCCCAACAAGAGACGAGGACACCAACGAGGCCCCGGCGGTCGGCAACACCTACACCGGGTCCGCCAAGGGCCCTTCCGAGAAGCTCTTGATCCCCACCTTTAGCGGGGATGCCGAGAATGGAGCCGAGCTCGGGACTTCGGCGCGCAGCTACCTGCGACAGGTGGCAGCATGGGAGAAGATGACTAAGCTGTCTTTGTCACAACGAGCCCTGGTTCTCTACCAAAACCTACAGGGTTCAGCTTGGGTAAATGCCGAGTCACTCAACGTCAACGACCTCGCCTCTGACCGCGGCGTGGACTACCTTCGCGACTGGATTCGGCAGCACTACTTGGACATCGAGGTGACGCAGGTGGGCAGGTCCCTGAGCGATCTGTTCAGGAAACTCCGAAGGAAACCCTCCCAGACCTTCCGGGACTACACCGCTGAGTTCAACAGGCTGCTGGCGAGGGTAACCGAATGTGGATGCAAGTTGCCAGATGTGGCGAACGCTTGGCTCTACGTCGACAGGGCCAGCCTGGACGAGACGACGGAGGTCTCGCTTCTCGCCTCCGTCGGGAACAAGTACGCCCTCAAGGAGCTTCAACAGGCCGCCATAGTGCTGGACAGGTCTATGAGGAAGCCCTGGGAGAAGAGTGGACGGAACGATGGCCCCCCTGGACGGCGATACAATTCGGTCAACCATGCGGAGGACGGCGTCTACGACGGCGAGGCGGACACCGACGAGGAGACGATGCTCGAGGACCACCTCGAGCAGGACACTGGCGAGCTCTACATCTCCTACATGACGGCCAAGGCCCGCTACAGGGACGCCGCGAAGTCCCGCGGCACGACCGACTACGGCTACAAGGGAGGTGCGGCGAAGGGGTTTGATCCTACGGCGGTCAAGAAGGCGGCCGAGGCCAAAATCCTCCTGGCGAAGTCGAAGAGCCACTGCGCGGCATGCGGGCAGAAGGGCCACTGGCACAAGGATGCTGTCTGTCCCAAGCGGGCCAGCGGAGAGAAGACACAAACGGTGCATGTGACGAACGAGATCTTCGAGCTCTCTACCTACTCGGGCGGGGAGGGCTTGTACGCGATCCTGGACTCCGCCTGCTCAAAGACTGTGGTTGGTACGGCGTGGCTCGAGCGCTACCTGACTGCGGTCCGAGGCAGGGGCTTTGATACCGACTTCATCTACGAGAAGGAGTGCTTTAAGTTCGGGGCCGCAAACAGGATCTACGAGTCCACCTACGCCACCGTCGTGATGATGAATCTCCTCGGCAAGTGGGTTGCTGTGAAGGCTGCAGTTATCCACGGGGACTTACCCCTGCTACTTTCTCGACCCGCACTTGGACGACTAGGACTAGTTCTCGACTTGGGTCTCTCTCGGGCCAGTTTTCGGAACCTCAACCCAGGGGAGCTCACACTCCTCGAGACAGCTAGCGGGCACCCAGCCGTCCCTATCGACCATGGAACAGAAGGCAAGCCGGAAATTTCGCAGCTTCCCAAGAAGTGGGAGCCGCATGGGATCGAAGTGCTGAGCTCGCGAGTGGTGTACATGACTGCATGTGCTGGGGATGTTGGGGTAGGGACTCCTACTGGTTCGTCGTCTTGCATTACTAGCCCGAAGATCTTCTACGACAAAAAGATAGACCCCGCAGTTCGTGACATGCTGGTTGCCGATGTGCTCAACGAGACTGTGTTCCTTGCCTGGTGGTCTAGAACTCAACTACATGACTTTTGGATAGAGACCCCCGAGAAGCTAGTCCGCGTTCACCTGACCCCGAGGAAGCACTTCTTTGACCCCCGATCCTGGAATACCCCGCATTGTCTACAACGAGAACAGTTGTTGGCCCAGCTCGGGAGTGTCAGGGAGACTTGTGGTATCAGTTGCATGTCGCAGAGGTTGCTGAGCAATGTCACCGAAGTCTGGGTCGATAAGAACGAACGTGCCTCTGACGGTTATCCCGTGCTGTGGGTTGGCCGAAGCGTCTTTAACAGACAAGCCCTTGCTCCCTGCGATCTCTCGCTCCGGCATGAGCCAGCCGTCCTCGACCGTGCCGGTATGGAAGATGACGAAGGTGCAGCTGTTGGCCGAGGCGAACGCCCGAGGGCTGGCAGTGAATCCCCGCTGGACGTGCCCAGAACTGAGGACGGTGCTCAACGCGGACGCCGAGTACCACCGGACTCCGGGGAACCCAGTGCCCAAGGGGCTGAGCTCGATGACGCTGGCGGAGCTGAAGAGCGAGGCGGAGAAGCTCGGCATCCCCACCTCGACCAAGGAGACGCGGGGCAGCCTGATGCTGAAGGTGAGGGACGCGGTGACGCCCGACACGACCGTGATGGCGATCGGGCGATTTCGCGGAAGCAGCTACGCGGACATCCCGGAGAACTACGCGCAGTGGGCCTCGGACGAGGAGAAGGCGAACGGGGACAACATGTCGCCAGATCTGAAACGATTCGTTCTGTGGAGGCGACATCGGCGAACCATGGAACCAAAGACACCGGTGGTGAAGCGCGGCTACAAGGACCCCGAGAAGGATGCGAAGGTGCCACCCCCTCCCCTCAGCGAGACCGGCTCCTCTGCGTGGGCCGTGGTCGAGGACTCGGAGGGCCCTTTGACCGGATGGCGACCGATCGCGCCTTCGGTGAGTTCGGACACATCGTGGAATCCAAAGGGAAAGGCCACGCGACCGAGGACCCCCGAGTCGAAGGGGCCCATGGACCAGGACATCGACTCGGACACGATCTCGGAGATCCAAGCGCTCGAGGCGAGGTTGGCGGTGCTCAAGGACAAGTGTGGAGTTCACGGCCGCAAGTGAGCTGCAGTGGCGGGCCTACAGGGTCGCCCGATGGCGCCTCTTTTCGCTCTTGTTCTTCCGGTTTGGAAGACGGGGCAGAGGAGGTGCACCTTTCTTCGCGGGCCCTCGCGAGGATCGGAGAGGACCTGACCGGGACACGACAGCACCACGAACACCCCGGTGAACTTGCCGCCCTGCGTGCTTTACAAGAACGGGACTTCTCTTTCGACCGCATCGCCGAGATCCTGACACACTACGACTTCTCTACTTGCCCTACCAACCGAGCTGCTGTTCACCAGGATGGTGGGGGAGAGCGCGTGGCCCTAGGATATTACGCCTACGGCAACTTCAAGGGGGTTTGCAAGAACACAGTGCGTTGGAGCCACCTCACCCAGTATGTCAATGCGTTCCTCCTGGACCACGCCGGGGGCAACCTGGAACAAGGCCGGGCAACCTACTGGGGTGCAGTGACTCTGTTGCGCAACTGTCCCGCTGCCATGCACACCGACAAGAACAACCTCAAGGGGAGCCCCAACTACGTTGTGAGCTTCGGCGGCGGGAATGGTGGTGGCCTCTGGGTTGAATCACCCGGGGGCGGATGCTGGCGAAGAGATTCCCGAGGTCAAGACGTCGAGGGCACCATCATCGACACCGACCGCCAGGTATGGGAGTTCGATCCACGCCTGAGGCACGCGTCCGAGCCTGGTTCAGGGTCCCGATGGACGATTGCCGCCTACACGCCGAGGACTTTGCCCGACGCCAACAAGACAGAGAAAAAGGTTCTTCGCCACTTCGGCTTCCCTTTGCCTTCGGTGGCCCAGATCCGCAATACCCGGATCGAGCGCGATGTACACGAGGTCAAGAGCGGCTACAGCAACAGCGCTACGGGCCCCGGGAAGGTCCCGATGCCCAGGCGAAGCCAAAGGAAAGCTATGTGGAAGACCGCTGCCTTCCTGAGCGTGATGTACACTACGATGCTCTCGTCTATGGGGAGAGTGGTGGACGAGTCTGTGCCGGTGCGACACCAGCCCGAGGTTGCCCTGTTGGAGATCGGGGGCTTCACGTCCACTTGCCGGACGGCCGAGTACTGTGGCGACTCAGTGAAGGTGATGGAACCCGTGCTCACCGAGGACGTTCTCTACAACGACCACCCCGCGGACTTACCGTTTGGCTTCGTCGAAACCACGGTGATACGGCATTGTCCAGGGCAACTCTGGATACACGTTCGTCCAGAATGGAAGGACCCCGAGATCTACTTCGACATCGTGGAAGCCGCCGGACGACAACTTCGAGAAGGAAGGACAGTGGTGCTCGAGCGCAACGTCGAGGAGGACGACCTCTGGGAGAAGGTGACCACTGGATGGGCGGAGGCAGGGTACTTTACCCACGGGGACCGCGACGAGGATGGGAACGAGCTCCTCCGCGTCACCTACGGCACCGAGGACGTGGAACTCCACGAAGTGTTCGTGGGAGAAGCAGCAGATGGACCAATCCCCGCACATGGAGAACCTGCTGACGGAGAACCTGGTGAAGGCGATGAAGCCCTCGCCGAACGTGGGGCAAAGGCAATCCGGTTTCCCCCGAGCGTACCGGGAAGGATTGCAAGCAGCCTCCGCAGGCTGCATCAGAATCTCGGCCATCCCAGCACCATCGACTTCAGTCGTCACCTGAGACTGGCAGGAGCTTCTCGAGAAGTGCTCAAGGCGGCGAAAGCTTTGGAGTGCGAAGTTTGCAAGAGAGCGAAGGCCCCTGCCGTCGCCAAACCCGCTAAGGTGGCCCCTTGTCTACGCTTCAACCAGATCATCGGCGTCGACCTCTTCTATGTCCACGACACCAATGGAGATCGACACCAGCTTTTGTCTATGGTGGACTTCTCTTCTTCTTACCACGTCGTCGTGCCCGTGGCCCGCAAGGATACCCTCACCTTGGAGAAGGCCTACTGTGAGCACTGGCTCAACACTTTCGGTGCTCCGGCAATGATTGCCGTGGATCTAGAGAACGGCCTTGAGAAGTCTCTGGCGAGAGTCGGAGATTGGACCGGGACCCGCATCCGCAATGCCGCGGGTCAGGCTCACTATCAAGCCGGCTACACCGAACGACAGGGCGGGATCTGGAAGGCGATTTTCGCGAAGCTATGTGACGAGCTTTCTGTGACCAAGGCCGAGATCACTTTAGCCATTGGGGCGGTGTCCAACGCCAAGAACAAGCTTGCTCGGATCAGCGGCTATAGTCCAGCCCAACACGTCTTCGGCTACCTTCCCAACGACCCCGACGACTTGCTCAACGGCCCGCACGCCGGCGACCCGACCGAGGAGGACATCATTGACGACCGCCACGCTCAGGAGGTTGCCATGAGAAGCGCGGCTAGGGCCGCGTACTACCACGTCCAGTCTGATGAGCGAGTTCGCAGGGCCCTGTCCGGAAGGACCCGAGTTATCTCCCGAGCCCCCGAGTGTGGAGAAAGGGTCTTCTACTTCCGGAAGACAAAGAACAACAAGCGCGGGATATGGATGGGACCCGGAACAGTCATAGGCTTTGAAGGGGTGAACGCCTGGGTCACTCGAGGAGGACGTTGCGTGCTGTGCTCGCCGGAGCACTTGAGGCTGGCTACACCCGAGGAATTGGGACAAGCTTTCAGCTTGCGGGCAGCCCGTGAAGACTTGGATCGCCTACTCAACGCCGAGGACGACGAGGAGATCTTCGAGGACGAGAATGCCGAGGCCGGAGGGATTGGTGATGTTGACTTCGATGCCGAGGACGACCCCGACGGAGACGTTGCCATGGCCGAGATGGACCACGGAGAGCCACCTGAGGACCGACGAGGAGTTCGACGAGGTCCGCAAGAGGCACCACCGCTGGTGCTCAAGAGACAGCGTCGCAAAGGACATCAAGATGCCCAAGCTGTGCTCATGATGAAGCGTGCCAAGACCAAGCGGTCTCGGGAAAAGGCCCTTGAGAAGGAGATCCCCTGGTCTCTCATTCCCGAGGAGATGAGGCCGAGTTTCCGCGCTGCAGAGGCCAAACAATGGGCCGAGCACGTCGACAACAAGGCCATCACAGTGCTGTCGGTCGCCGAGAGCGAGCGCATCCGAGAGACGACGCCGCCCGAGCGCATTTTGTCCTCGCGCTACGCCTACAAAGATAAACATATGGGGCTCAGGCGAGTCAACCCAAGCACGCCTTGGAAACCGAAGGCTCGGTTGGTGGTGGCAGGACATGCCGACCCAGACGTGGCCAGTGGAGAGCTCACGACGGACTCCCCTACGGTTGCCCGATCCTCACTTCTTACCGCCCTGCAGATTTGTGCTTCCAAGGGATGGCAGGTGGCAGCCGGCGACGTGCAGGCTGCTTTTCTACAAGGAGTCGAACTACGACGAGATTTGTGGATCTCCCAACCACGTGGGGGAGTCGAAGGCCTAGACCCTAGGCAAATCGCCCGTGTCAACAAAGGCATATTCGGGCTTACTGAGTCGCCGAGGATGTGGTACGACCGCCTGGCCGACGTGCTCACCACCGAGATCTTCCATTACAAGGAGGTCCAGTACCGACTGGTGCAGAGCCCTTTGGACCCGTGTGTTCTCCTGCTGATGCGCGTCGATGGCGACTTCGAGCCCGAGGCCCTCCTCACCATCCACGTGGACGACATCCTCATCGGGGCCCCCACCGAGCTCAACCGGTTCCTGCAGGCCGAGATCAGCCGCCTCTTCCCCGTAGATGACTGGATCGAGGGAGCTTTCGAGTACACCGGCTCCTTCATCGAGGTTTCCGATGAGGGGATCTCTATCAACCAGGCGGCCTTCGTCGACGGCAGGCTGTTCACCGTCGACATCCCCAGAGGCCAAGACGGGAAGTCCCCGGCGGACGAGGAGCAGACTATCGACAACAGGTCGTTGCTGGGGGCATTGAGCTGGCTGAGCAGCCAGAGCCGGCCCGATTTAGCCTGTGGGGTAGCCATGTCACAGCAACTTCAGCGAGCACCGTCTACTGATGATGTCCGCTTCGTGAACCGGCTCACCGCCCAGGCCAAGGAGCACAAGGAGTTCGGCGTCTACCTGAGGAAGATACCTATCGACCGGGCCGTGTTCATAGCCTACCACGACGCCGGATGGGCAAACGCCGACCTCGAGGACGCAGAGGTCGAGTTCCAGCTCACGCCAGAGGAGATCGAGGCCGGGAAGGTGCACGACTTCTACGACGAGGAGCGCCAGAGGAAGCCCAAGCGACTCGCTTCCAAGGTTGCCTCCCAGATTGGCCACCTGATCATGCTCTTCCCCTACGAGGCACTCGATGGGGAGCATTCGGCGGGGAGCACCCTGGAGTGGAGGAGCCAGAGCTGCAAGCGTGTGTGCCGCTCAACGTTTGGAGCTGAGACTATGGCTGCCGCAGAGGGCTTGGAGGGCGCTCAGTACATGAGGGCGCTGTTCGGAACGCTTCTCACCGGACGGCTGATGGGCCATGCCGAAGCAAGACGGAGGTGGCCTATAGTCTGTTTGTCGGACTGCAAGTCGCTCTTCGACTTTCTCCACAAGACCGGGGTTCCCAAGGTGCCTTCCGACCGGAGGCTTGCCATCGACCTGGCGGCCCTGAGGCAAGAACTGCGTCTTGAGAAGTGGTCCGATAGGCTACCGTTTCAATGGATCCCTACAGCCATTCAACTGGCAGACCCCTTGACCAAGCCTAAGCGCGTGGAAGGGTGGTGGAACCACCTCAAGAACGGAGTACAGTT